CTCAAAAGAGGGGATGTCTTAACGGGGACCCAAGGAACGTCTGGGTTTTGACCAGGCAGAAAACAGGGAGGGATTTCTCAGGATGATGGAATGTTGTATTTAAAGATACGGATTCACGAAAGACCCCAGTGAACCAAGAAAAGGCCAGGTCCTTGGCATGACGGGAGCACTGGATACTCCTGGGAATGGCCTCTCATTAGACTGGGCTGAGTAAGGTCATCTTGGGTCAGAGAGTAAAGGGTCCATGAGCCATGCTAATAAGTTAATAAAGTTACCAGGGAGCCTCTCTGAAAAAAGAAGATTAAGGCAAGAGGAGATGGAGATGTGAGAAGACACTCAGAAGTCACGGAGGATGCAGAACAGGCAAGAATCAGTGACCATTGGAATGTGGCCGCGAATGAGGGGTAAGAGTCAAATGGAACTCCTTGGTGGGGGAGGGGCCAAAGGCTATGTTTAGACAAGTTCCATTTTGACTCTTTTTTTTTTTTATTTGTTTCATGTTGATCCTTATTTTTATCACAACCCAGAAAGTCAGAAGTCAGGAAATGAGGTCTTATTCTTGGAAAAGGGCCCACAATGAAAGATAACATGGTTTTCCACAGAGAAGAAGAAAAAGCCATCAAAGTCATTGCTCACCCATCATTTATTGAGTATCTGAATACAAGTCTGGGGTCTGCACACGGATTTTGTCGGGAAGGGTTTTCAGGACTTGGAAGCTATGGATCGTGGGGATCCACAGCCTTTGGGGATCTGCAAACAGATGACATGGGCTTTCTATTTTTATGTGATTGGAAACTAGAAAGGCATTGAGTTGGAATGGGTTCAGTCAGTTCTTGTGACAGGCACTTGATGGATACTCCCTCTGGTGAGGGGTAGGGCCTGGGCGTGGGGGATGTCAGTGTCGTTTGGATGGTCTCCTGGCCGCCTCTCACGGTGTTCACTCTAGTCTAGACTGCGATGCTTGCAGTTTCTGATGTTTTATGCACCGGAGCCAAAGCCCTCCCAAGCCCAAGTTTCTTCTCTTTAGTTGCAATGTGAATCTTTGGCGTAGTTTTCCTGTTTCTGAACTTTAAGGAGAAGTGTTCTGTCTTTCAGTGACCCAACCAAGTCTCACTTGTTCAGAGGGCCAACCAAGAAATGATGTAAATCCCTAAATTGATCAAAACTAAGATTCGATTCTTTCACCCCATTTACTACTTGGATTTCACCCAACCAGAAAATCCTAGGATTGCTGCTTGAAAGCCTGAAGTGCCTGAAAAGTGAATCCTAGTTCTCAAAAGCATCCCTGCAGCTAGATAGAAGGAAGATAGACTTTTTCAACTTTTAAACAGAA